GACACCACCAACTATTTCCACAGAAGTCCCCCAATCCCTAGCACATGGTGATAATAACATCACGTACCAATACCACGTACAATGGAGGCTGGATTTGAACTGGCAATCAAGCTGCAAAAGACTCTGAAATTCACTAGCATTCATGTCATTATAGACTCCTAATGAGCTTCTTTCTCTAAAATACACTTAGATTTTTTTTTTTTTAAAAGCAAATTATATCTGAAGAAAATACTAAACCTCCATTAGCCTCATTAACTTCACTTCATTTTTTACTGTGGTATTTTGATACAAGTGTATGGTGGAATGATTATCTTATAGATGGCACCAGATATTTAGTTACTAAAATTAGTATGAAGTCCCTGGTGTTATTTTTAAGACACGCTTGTTTTTTTTAGATCCACAATAGCCTCCAGAAAAAAAATTATCCTCAAAAGCTTCTTTTGTGCTAGGATCACGTAACAGAAAGTAGAGCTCTAGGGTTTAATTTCTATCAATTAACAAAATGAGTTTCACACTACTCCTAGCCAGAGGAGCCAATATACGCAGTACCACAGGTCATCAGAGAAGAGCTTAATGTAAATCCAAGAGTGGGTGAGTATTGCTACATTTTGCCATCCCCTGTATTGTTCTTCTAATTTTATAAAGCCCCAGTCACTGAAATAATTATTAGAGGCACTTAAGTTGTTTTACTGATCCTAGCACCTTTCATAGAGCTTGTGCAGCTCTAAGGAGCTGTTCAAACACACAGGGCTGTCCCTTGGAAACATTCTGCTGCTGTTATGAGCCTCGGATGTCCCCCAGAACAGGGAAATTTTTGAGCAGGTTTTTAAACAGACAACAAATAAAAAGCGGATGTCTTTAAAAATACAGGCCTCCGAGGCATCTTGGGTTTCCCCCTCTGCAGCGAGCACAGAAGACTGCTTATCTTGGCTCCAAAACAGATTGATGTTTTCAGCCGGAAGATTCACTATAGCTGACAGAGAACATTTCCTTCATCGTATTGCTTCACCATGTGAGGAGATAACTCAGGCTAATAATATTCTGTCTCCTTTTTATCCTCCTATAGCCTACGCATAACTTAACTCTTAATTCCAAAGGGCTCACAGAGGAGATTGGCCTGGTGCTAGTTTCATTTACTCACATATAAATCAAAACTCTGTCTACCAGAATAGATGCCACTGCACTGGTGTTAAAAAATAAAATCCTCAGCGAGGCCAAAAAATTCCCCCTCAGCTCCCCTGATGATAAACACCATGTTATCCTAGATTCAGTCACACCCTCCAAATTTCTAGACATCACATCCCGTTCAAATTTGCATGTAAGTAGGAGCTATCCTGATTCACAAGAAATACAGCTTCGCCTATCCAGAAAGCATTAGTGCAAATATAAAACAAGCAGAAAATGGCAGAGTGGTAGAAACCTGGCATCCGTGGCAATTATCTTTACTTCTAATGAATAGCATCTTTGTTTCTTAGTAACTAATTATAGTGGAACCGTTTGGAGAAAAGGACCTTGTGATATGCCTGAAAGAATGAGTGTACAGCACGAAACCAGGACCACACTTGTCCACAGTGTCAGATATCCACTTGCAACCTCCTCCTACTACCCAAGACTGCAGGATTACGCTTCTGAATCTTCCAGGACCCCTAAGTCACCCCAAGTGCTATGTATGGACTGCAAGGTTACCATTCTGGGATACGAACAAACCGCATTGCTAGATCTGAAGTCTTAACCCCCAAGCTGTAATCCTCAGCCACACACAAAACCCCACTGACTGCAGGCACCTGCCTGACTGCATGAAAGCACTCACTATTCTGCTCTAACTCAAACACACATTGCTGCTTTCAGAAAACCCACATTATTATTCTGGTTTTGAAGAAGGAATTGCAGAAAGCTGAATCAGAAACTTTGAAAACTGCTAGCAAGACCCTGGTTTCAGTTACCCTAATCTATCATCATATTTCATCACCAACCTCATACCTGCTCAAAGCTCCCAGCAATGTGCCACCTCTGCCCCCTCCATTAAGGTATAAAACAAGGGTTAAGTGACAGATCATATCAATGTGGATAGCAATCTGTCTCACTCAGAAACCATTGCACCTGCTATAAAGAAAGAATTATTATACTGGTGTCAATATGATAAATTACGGTCTCTTTTTTTCCTAAAGAAGAATTTCGGGGTTTTTTGAACTAGCAGAGAAAAGTCTTCCCCTTTCGGCACTCTGAACATCAGAACAGTTTCTCCTGACATCCTGTTCAGAGTCTCCACTAATGAAACTGTTTATTTTGGTGGATGGCTGATACAGTTACTCATTACAGCACTCATCTTGAAATAAATATGAACTGAGAGCCAGTGATATGAATTCAAACTGTTCCTTCCATATATTTGTTTCCAAAAAGTAAATAAGTTTGAAAGCTCCGCTGTTTGCCCTTGTTAAAGTGAAAAGAATGTTTAGGGAAAATGAGGTTTTCAGGGTTTTCTCACACCACACAGGTTACACAATCCCACGTGCCAAACCCACAAAGTTTGTGGTCACGTTTCCCTCCTACAGCAGTGAGTTCACAGCTGCAGCACCAGACAAAACAGGACTAGGAGGCACCTAAAGAAGTCACCTCCTGATTAATCATCCCCTCTCCCTAACATCTATACCTGTGCCGGGGGTTTACTTAGAGTTATGGAAGAATTTATGAAGAAATTAGATGACTTATCCTAGTGCTAATGGGAATCCACTACAAATCTTTTCCTCATGTCTAGCCTAAGCTTCCCTTGCTTCACTGTAAAACTTTTGTTTCTTGTCCTAGCCCTACAACCCTTTCCTTTTGCAGCATCACAACAGGCTTTCAAAGACACTTCTCACTCTCTTCCGTTCTCTAGGCTGAGCAACTTCTACCCTTTTAATCCTTCCTTGACAGGCCACTTTTTCTAGACCTCTGATCACTCTCTTGCTGCTTTCTGCTCCACACCTCTCAATGTGTAATATCCCAAACAGGAGACAGCATTCTGATTAATGTCTCCACAGAACCAATCTGCAATGATCCTTGGGAAACTAGTCAAAGTGCTTCATGAGTAGCCAGTCTCTCACTGCTGGGCACATTTTCATGATGGAGGTTGCACCACAGAGGAAGGAATGGTCTCTGTTATAACTAGAGAGATGTCCTTCAAAGGCTTCAAACATCAGGGCAGAACAAGGCTTTGCAGTGGGGACCAGGAAGGGGAATGCTTTTTTAGTGTTTCTACAGAGACAAGCAGCTGGGTCTTGTATTAGCTCCTTCAGCATGCACCTCTGTCCCCCAGCTTCTGCATCATCAAAGAAAAATCGTTGCTGGACTGATTCAGAGTGAGGCAACCAAGAACAGCATCAAAGATTGAGCTAATCGATTCAGTTGTGTGAGAGTGGGGAACAGAAGGGATGTATGTATCTTGCTGTTACTGCCACCTCCATGAAGGAATAGCAATTAATAGAAAAGGCCGACATGTTAGAAGGTAATCTTGCTGTGCAATTGCAATTGCTTACAACCCCAAACAACATCATATCTTCGTACCTCCGACTGTGCAAAAAAATGCTAAGATGTAAGGGAGCAGTTTCATTACTGCAGCAGCTGCAGGGGATTGCCAAGCCCCAAGACATGTGCTCCCAGGGAGTGACCTACTGCTCTCCCAGCCCCGTAATCTCTCTCACAGTATCGTTGAAAAAAGGGGCGGGGATGGGGAGAAAAGCAAACCAATTCAGCTTATGAGTAAAACCTTGATGAGCAAAAGTCCAACAGAGCAAAAAATGCACCACCACAGGACTTGAGAAGTCCAGGATATGAGCACTGGCAGATCTGGCACACAGAGCTGTATTTGCCCCTCACTCTCTGCAGCAGTCTCTCCAAACAGCCCTCAACTCTCTTCGATACCAAATGCAGGACCTTTGTTCTCTGCACATCATATGTTTAAGGAACTGACTGCATTTCCGAGACCCTTACCTCTTGATTTCCAGATGCAGCCAACCCCTCTGCCCTGCAGGTGTTAACTTCACACTCTTTGCAAAAATATGAGCACTGTTTAACAGGTCATACCCTGGGTTTAAAAAAGAAGGAGCTCCTGGGTTGCACAGGGTGTGTTATTGCAACCCTGAACACCCCTTCTCAGCCTCTCACTTGCCCTGGGATAACCTGCACCTCAATAACCGGTGCAGTGGTTATTGGGTAAGGATATTTGGCAAGCTTGAAAATAGGGAAAGGAAGCTGGATGAGGGCGTACATAGCCTTGTACTCTCAGAGGCATTAAACTTTGGCTCAGAAATACCCACCTGGGCACTGAGCCCTATAAACTGTCTCCCAAAGCTTGCAAAGATAAATATAAACTGGCAACAGACCTTTCCTCCAGCATCCCTGGGAAAGGGATGGGGACCTGCCTGTTGGAGGAGGCACATGGGGACTAATGCAGGGAAGGTGCTGGTCTACATGCAGAACTATTTGAAATGCCTTTCTTTGAAATCTTCCCCCTTGGTCCACCCACGTTCCTTCCTGAGCCTGGAGAAAGCTTTGGGAAGTGCTGGAGCAGGAGGATCTGCTTCCTCGCACGGGGCAGGCTCTCCTCCCCAGAACCACAGTCCCCTACTCCAGCTCTCCTAAGCCTCCCACAAGGTATTAAAAAGCAACAGCAGACAGCAGGCTCTCTCCAGCTTCCTTTATTTAACTGCAGACCTCTAAGCACTCTCCTCCCTTTCCACTCCTCTAGAAGAGCTGCACAGAAACATGGGGAACAAGAGCAGCTCCTCATTGCTGTTGCGAGCCCGAAGCCAGCATTTGCTCGCTCTGGGGCTCCTACATTGCCGTGTGTATGATAAAAACCATTGGAGCATACACAGAGGGAGGAAGGGAACACTTTTGTTTCTCTGTCCCAAGAACTGAAGGTACTAAATGTTAATACTTGGAAATCAGCAATTGCCAAGAATCAGTGCCCCACCCACCCATCCACCCTCAGCTTTGAAGTGTTTTCTTTCTAGCTTTACCTTGGCACGCTGGCCAAATAAGTCACAAGTTTCCGAAGGTCTTCCTGCCTTATTCTGTCGTGATTGCTGCGGGCTGGGAAGGTCAAGACAGGACCACCTCGTTTATCACGGCCACCTGTGGAAAATAAAGAATTGTTAGAAATCAGGCAGGAAGCACACGTCAAAAAAACTCTGTGCACTGAATTGATAAACATAAATTACGGCACATTCAAGAGCCTGTGCAGTCTTTGTAGCTTTCAGGCTTGCCTAATTGCCTAAGACATGCTTGCATTTGCTGGAGCTCCAAAAGGGAGAAATAAAAAAAAAAGAAACCCAAACCCAACACACAAGGAAAACTGCTATTAGTATTTCTTCTGACTCTCACCTAATCCCATCAAACCTAATCTAACTGCCAACCCAAGCAGGCAATGCTAATGAAATCCTACTGTGGGGATAGGTTTAAACTGGTCAACACCAAGAAAGTGAAAGTATTTTTCACTGTTACTCAGTGTGTTGCATCGTTCACTGCCAGATAGTTTACAATGTCCTGCCAGTTAGGAGCTATGTATCCCAGTAAGGTTTATGCAGTAAGACATTCTAATCTATCTGGCAATTCATTAGAAATTGAAATTTTCATTAGAAGTTCATGCCTCCTATGCTTTCTATTTAGAGAGTGTTGTTGGCAATTGGAATGATTTTCGGCTTGTTTTTTCCCCTGTAGCTTTCCTGTCTTAAAATCTACTCCTTTTAAACTGCCAGTGTCTGGCACTTCATCTTTTACAGCAATTGTCAAAAGGCTTAGCCATAAAGAAATGGCTCTACCCTGAATTATACAATCATAAATATAGGGGTGAATACAATCTATTCTACAACGCCTTATTTTATTCTCTACTGTGAATAAAGTTTAATAAGCGTGAAACTGAAATCTAGTGCCTCACTCAGTGTTTAGCTCTTCACATATTATCACGAGATTTTTTTCAGGAATTGTATTGTTAGATACGTGTTTGCATTGTTATCTAGGAAAAAAAAGTCATAGCAAAACTACAGTTCAAAAAGCTAGCACAGAACTGCAAGGACCTTGCAAATAATCTGTAAAAATGCAGATGAGCTTGCGCTTTTCAATGGAAAGTATAATCCCTTTAACAGAAACATCACTTTTGAGAAAGGAAAATCACGTGCTTCTCTGAACTAATTTACCTGGCCAACAAGAATAAAAAGCCACGCAACATCTCCAGCACTGATCTCATGCTGAAGACAGGACACCCTCACTCCGTGGGGCCATGACTTCTGCAGGAGTCCTAAACACCCGAATTCAGTAGGAAGAGTCCTAAGAGGCTCTGCTGTAAGAGTAGGATCAGCACAAGAGCACGTGTGCTTGGAAAAACAGTATCCTGGATCACCAAAGGGCAAAGAACTGCTCTGGGCAGAATTTAGATCAGGAATCAAGGAGGTGCCTCATATGGCAGGAGTTCCTGCAGGTGGACAAACCAGAAACCAAACCTACATGCATATACTCCCAGGGCACAGGTTTTCCAGCTGGCCCTGCCTACAGAACAGAGAAGTCACTTGTAGATCCAGCTCCCATCTGACAACATACCCCCTGTCCATTTTATTCTGAAACTGTCCATTCAGTTGATGCCACGATAGGTACAAGCTCACCTTCTAGCACAAAGTGTCTCTCTACTTGACCAGAGTCACACATAAGCAGCTAAAAATAGCAATGCTGTTACTATATATGCATTTGTTAAAAATATTTATATTATTTTTTAAAAAAATTGCTAAGTCCTGCCTTAAAGAGTTTTTTACAGCACTGCAGACTGTACAAGTCAAAATCTGTTACATAAACTTCATGCCAGTGTTACCCTGTGTTACAGTTTGCCAGCATTGAAATGCCCATAGTTTTCAATGGATGCTATATACCTGAAGGGCTACATCATGCAACTCTCCACTGGAGCCAGGTCACATCTGATTTGTCCAGGGGTACAAATGGAGAGGCAAATAAGAGATGCCATCTTCATTTTGAGCCCTCATGCAGTCAAGGGTACATATGGAGTACAAAAACTGTCCTGCCTAATCTCCACCCAAATCTCTGTGCCTGATGTTTGCCTTTGGCTTCACACCATGAAGGTGAGGAAGATCCATGGAAATTCAGTGTCCGCTTGACTGATCCATGCCTCTGCTACATAGCATAAGAATGGGGGTGTAATGTAACAAGGACTCAATTTACAAGGAAATAAGCTCATTTTTATTTTCAGACCTATATACATATAAAAAAAATTTCCTCATTTTAAGCACATTCTCCCTTTGTTGAGAATATTTCACACACCGTAACAATGCCAAAACCATTATATCATGCATGATGTGTCCAACAGAAAAGCAAGCCAGCCTATGGAATGGCAAACCAATGTAGTAACTAAAGCTGGAGGGAAATATTTTTTCAACACAGGAAGTTTTTCAAGGTTTTGAAAAATTTCCCATCATATCAAGATGTAACCAAGGCTTTCAAAAGCTTCCAGATATTCACTGAAGCAGAGACCTGAACTTGATTTGCATCCCAGAAGAACATGCTACCCGCTACTCAGTCAGGCTCCCTCTCCTTCTTCATTCCCAATTATTTAAATATTTCTACAAAGTGGAAAAGCACTAAGAAATGAGATCAGGAGACAGCCAAGCCCACAGTTATAATCTTCTCCCAGGATACGAAACACCCAGAGAGAGCCATGAGCTTCCCACAGCCCAGCAGCCCTGATGATGCCCATTCACCTCATCTTGGTAAACAAAAATTGTGTTTCTGGCCAGGGACCCCTTTCCCACCTACAGTTCCACCAAAGTGAGTGCTGAAAAAAGAAAAAAACCAAATTATCTGAATTCTGATAGGCTGAAAAAGGTAAATCGGAAATTTTTTGACCTTTTTACTAACAGTAACACAAGGATTTCAGCTACAGAAAAGGAAACAGGGTCTAGAACATTCCTGTCCTGTCTTTGCTTCAGGATAAATGTTGTCCCTCAACGGTTCATCTAAACTGTCCTCAGGGGAGCAGGATAAATAAGGCTGCAGCACAGAATCAGAAGTTACCAGGACAGACCAGAGAAAATGGGTTAATTCTCATTGGAGGAGGAAGGTTACCCAATGACCCAGTTTGAGGTTTCTGGATGACAGAAGGATAAATAAGTGCCTGGGCCAATTCCTTCTAGTCCCATGGCACAGAAGAACAAGGAGACATGGGGCAAATCTCAAGAAATGTGAGGTTTAGAAACAAATGTTTCTAATTTGTGATAAAAGTACTGCTCTATGCTTTGAGCAATAGGGTGAAATTATTATTACAAGTGCATCATACATATTAAAATCCTTCATTTGTTCCCAAATTATTCATGAGCAATCCTTAATTTTTATGAATGCCTGCATAATTTACAATTTTATGAAGACCCTATATGAAGAAACATCAGGTTTCTTCCAGAACAAACCACGGTATGTTTAATTCACCATAAGACTTGCAGAATTCATTAACTGTGGTTTACTCTCTTAAATACTAATAATATGTAGCTTTTCCATTGCATTTTATGACAACAAATCTCAGCTTTTCTAGGCAGACAAAATGAGACATTGCCACCACCAAAGTTTAGACACCTAACATGCCTATATTAGAACCCTTGTCTCCTCTAATGGAGCCTCCAGACAGGTAGCAACAGTCACTAAAAGAGAAGAAAATCTTTCAGCATTGGCTGTACAGCGAGTCTATACCTTGAGTCTATACCTTTCCTCTTCTTTATTATTATCTCCTTTTTTACTGAGGGGAATAGTGAGGTACAGAGAGGGGAAGAAATTCAGCCCAGACCCCACAGCAAGTCACTTGAAGAACCAGGGGCAGAAATGAGGTTTTCTGACTCTTAGTCCAGTGTGTTAGAGCTTCATAGTGCTTAGGCTAGAAGTCAGCAACTAAAAACATTATGGAAACTCTGTCGCTGCTTGTCAGTAATCCACCCAAGGAGGCTAATCTTGCCCCAAGTCAGCCACAATCTCAACATCAATTTTACATGCACAGTCTCTTCAGAGAACTACCCAGCATGTTATTTTAAAAGAAAATAAAAAATGGAAGGAAGTGAAGAGTCTCAATTGCTCTAATCAATATGTCCCGTCTCCTGCCTCCCACTGGGCTACAGACATGGGATGCAATAATCAAACATGTCATTATGTTTGCTAATTACAGTTATTAAATGCTAAAACAAACAGCTGATAATTTCTAATTGTTTTTCAAGGTGGGTTTTCATGGGCTTTGCTCTGATTTAGAGAGGCAAACAGATGGTCTAGTTATTAGTGCTCTGGAAAAAAGAGTCAGAAAAACACATGTTCTTCAGGGCACAAAGTACACCGAGAACAAATATTTAGCCATATATGTCCTGCATTCCTCCCACAAAATCCTTTGTTGATGGCCTTGCTTGTCAGTGGCTTGCTTGCTGGTTCTTCCCATCTCCCTTTCTTCCAGCCTATACAGAAACCATTGCTAAATTCAGCATTTGTTCCCAGAAGTAGGATTACATCATTTTTCCTCCACAAATCACAGAATTGTTTAGGTTGGAAAACACCTTTAAGATCATCCAGT